CCTACATCTCACACGTCCCAGCATTATGAATTGTTCTTGGCTTGTTCTTGACTCAGGTCCCTGGCTGATCCTCCAGGTCTAGCTTTTGACCGCATCTTTCTACTCTGATTTCATGACTTCCAGTTCATCTTGGGCGACTATGTGTCAGGTCTACTTAAGAGCTTCCTTCCGTGAATTTTCTGACCTCAGTCTGGTTGGGGTTTGGAATCCGGAACTATGGAATTCAGAGGAACTGGACTTCCATCTCTGGGGAACTAACTGTCCTGCTTCAGGTTTCAACCATGCACTCTCACACACGGTGGTTTATGGAGTTTAGCAATTTTACTCCAAAGCTGAAGAGATAACAACCAACAAAGGAATGTCAACAAAACTGAGCCTTGCCTGAAGAGTTTGCTTTTTACATAGGAGCGTGCAGAAGAGTAGTCCCAACCCAAATCCAGGGTTCCAAGGCCCAGGTCAGGGTTGTCAGCCAGTCCAGAGGTTCAAGGTTTGAAACACAAACAGGATTTACGGGAACATTATGCAAGAGCCGGAGATCAGACATGGTTTCCAGCAAAGGGAACGTGGGTCAGAGCTGTTCCTTGAATCAGGCTGCAGCCAGTTGTCACTAATCAGGGGATTTACTCCCTTGCTTGGCAAGGAGCCTCATAGACCTTCACTGTTTTGCTTTCTTCTTTACTCATCAGATGCAGAAGCTGGGAGGGCTTATGTCAGTGTTTCTCAACCTTGGCAGCTTTCAAATGTGTGGACTTCAACTCCCAGAATTCCCCATCCAGCCGGAGAAGTCAGGTGAGGATGACGTAAGGTAGTGAGAAACACCGCCTTACGTCATCCTCACCTGACTTCTCCAGCTACTCAGGGGGTGCCTGTGCTTGATCAGCCTCAGTAATCCTGGCTTGGTCTCTCCAGAGGCTGACATTCCACTGGAGCAGCTTCTTCAGGCTCAGATTCAGATTCAGAACCTAAGGCCTGAGCCTGGGCCATGACACTATCTCACTGTTTATCTGAAATGCAGGTAGCCCTCAGGTTACGACGGCAATGGGGACCAGGTTTGCCATTGCTAACCAATGTGGTCGTAAAGTGTGATGTCACGTGACCGCATTGCTTAGCGCCAGCAATCTTGGTGGTCCCCGTTGCTGTCGCCCAGATTGTTAAGCAGAAAGAGGCGGGAGTCCCAGGTAAGGCGCTTGGGGGTGAGTCGGCGGGGTGGGTTGGGGGCCGGAAGAGGCCCTGGGAGGGCCAGTGGAGGCCGTGCAAAGGTGGGGGTTTGGTGCAGGGAGTAGAAAAAGTAGGAGCAATTTACTGGAGTGACCTTCTCTGCTGGCTTCCTCATAGACTTTGCCCTGTGGAGCTCCCTGCAATGTCATAATCATCAGCTGAGCACCCAAACACCCAGATCACGATCATGTGACCACAGGGGTGCTGTGATGGCCAGAACTTCGAGGACTGGTTGTATGCCCATTTTCCCAGCGCCGCCGTAACTTTGAACGGTCACTGAATGAATGGACGTAAGCTGATTCCCTTTGTTCCCCATCAAATCATAGGTTTGCTTTTTCTTCCCAAATTTAAGGGCAGATAAATCCAAGCTTCTTCTCTTCAGGGAATGAGCTGTTGTCTCTGAATTCCTGGAACCGATAAAGTTAAAAAAAACCCCAAAAACAAAAGAGAGACTAAACAGTTCTGCACAAATGTGGGAATAAGGGGATTTCTATCAAATTAGTCATCCACCTAAATGAAAACACAGAAAAGTGAAAGAAGGACAGCTCTGATGGGTTTTGAATTCAAACAGCATCTGGACTATGTACCAAACCTGTATTCTAACCAAATTAAAAAAGAGCATTTCTGTTCTATTATTTCCGTACTTACCCTGAAATTTTTTTACGCACTCCTTAAAGGGGATAGGGCACTATTTGATCTACCACCATCATCACCAATATTTATAGTCTCTTCTGAAGAATACTGAGCAAATGCTAGGGTTTTAGGGCCAATTCAAGCCTTATCCCCCAGCTTAAGAATTGTCCAAATACCACCACCATATATATGTGGTTCCAAGCCAAGCTGTTTTTTTTTCTAAACTAAATATTGTGAGGTCAAATAATTCTAAATAATTCTGTTCTGTTACACACATTAACAAGGAATAAGATCTTTGCTCCTGTTGTTCAAGATTCTCAAGTCATCTCAGATTTCTTATTCATAGTGTACTTGTATGTAAAACAGCAAGCATGTACAGATGTGGGAGAAACTTGAAAGGATGGGAAATTCCATCACAGTGCAAGTATTTATTTATCTGTTTGTTCATTTAGATTTACCAGCCTCCCAACTACTTAGGGGAGAGGCTGACATATCTGCTTTCTGAATGACATAACAGGGGCCTACACTCCCCAATGTGAGTGACAAGAGCCATGCAAGCTAAGTTTTATTCCATTTTGAATTAAAAGGACATCCATTAAACGCAGTTCACAAGCTTATTTCTCCTGTATTCAATTCTTTCCCCCTTCTATCACCTTAAAAATTACAGTTTTGAGGCCAGTTGTACAACTCTGCCCCCCCGAGAACGTTTCCTAACGATGGCCTCACAGGAATAACACACAGTGCTGTGTCTGGATCTCTGAATAATGTCCAACTTTGGCACTTTTTGAACAAAAAAATCTGTAGCTGGAAAGAAACCGGGTGGAACACAAAAATATCAGGTCACACGTTAGATGTCTGTGGGTACCATCCAGATGACTGTCAATTTCAGTTGAAGTGGGCATTCTGAGGATGGGGCAAAAATTCTATCAATCTTTCTAAACTGGGCATGGGCTAATTTTAGAGTTTCGCTTCTCCAGTCTGGAGATGACTTAAGAAACTTAAGTCAGTCTCCAGACTGGACGAAGCGAAACTCGTAAAC